AAAATGGACCATTAAAATAAAGTGTCCCCAGTAAATGTTTTGGTACTCCAGAAACATTTCTTATCTTATTATATGTGTATATAGTATTTTTTTACATTCAGATTTGATCAATATAATGCTTTCTTGCTAAATAAAACATTTAATTTCTTAGAAAATAAAATCCAAAAATTATGATAGTAAAAAAAATCTTTCTTAAATAATAATAATAATAATAATAATAATAATAACAATGATATCCATACGCCGAACTAATCCAGCACAAAAAAGTAGCCGACCTAAAGTGTCACTTAAATGCAGTATTTGAAGCTCATATTTTAATAAAAATTTAGGCAATTAACTGCAAAAAGGTTAATTTTTTTTTAGGTAAAAAAGCCACCCCTTTTAATAGGCTGGCTATGGGCCTGTATATACAGTTGAAGTCAGAATTATTAGCCCCCTTGTTTTTTTACCTTTCAATTTCTGTTTAACAGAGAGAAGACTTTATAATACATTTCTAAAGATAATAGTTTTAATAACTCATTTCTAATAACTGATTTATTTTATCTTTGCCATGATAACAGCACATATTATTTTACTAGATATTTTTTTAAGACACTAGTATTCAGCTTAAAGTGACATTTAAAGACTAGGTTAATTAGATTAACTAGGTTAGGGTAATTAGGCAAGTTATTGTATAATAATGGTTTGTTCTGTAGACTATCGGAAAAACATATTGCTTAAAGGGCAAACAATTTTGTCCTAAAAATGGTTTTTAAAACATGTAAAACTGCTTTTATTCTAGCCAAAATAAAACAATATGACTTTCTCGAAAAGAAAAAATATTATCAGACACTGTAAAAATGTCCTTGCTCTGTTAAACATCATTTGGGAAATACTTAAAAAAGAAGAAAAAAAATCTGTTTAATCTGATTTCAACTGTACTGTATATAGAGTTTTTTTAAGCAAAGAAATAAATAAACAAAGGTAAAGACAAAATAAAAAATTAAATAAAAAACAACAGCAAATCAGAACCAACAAAATCCCATGTAAACTATACCAAAAAAAAGGCATGCTGTCTTTTTTCACAGACACAGTAATTACTAAAGAATGCAATGTTTACAGAAGAACTAGCTCAGATAAGGATGCTGCCCTCCAGCAAGTTAACCAGTGGCGTTAAAAGGGTGATGGCCTTTTGCCCTAAAAGAATCACAGGTCCTCCTCCGCTTTTCAGCAGACACTCACTGCTCAACAGCCTCATCCCAGGTGACCCTTTCTGAACAAGTTGTCAGCTACACATGTCAGTGTCTCGCCACTTGACCCAAGACCCGACTCCCTCCCTCTGAATCCCCATTGGCCAAACCAGCAGGGGAATTGTCCTCTAGAACAAAGCATATAGTTGGGGGTGTTCGGTTAAGGACTTTGACTAACATTCCATTCACAATGCTCTCTGGCGACCAACTTTTAATGACCCTGCACTTCTAAACATTTACTGTTCACCACACACACAAAAAAGAACGTTCAGTGCTCACAAATAGAGCATCTTTATGGAAAGGAGCCTTTGCAACGGTCTCGAGCTTTAAGAGAGTTGCCTCATTATTTAGAACTGAATATTAATGAATGAGCCGCAGGGTAAAGGAAACATTCAATCTGTTTTCTAGCCTTCAGATTGTGTTGCTGTAGAACATGGTCAATGGCGAGGTCAGAGGTTGGATTCCCAGGGAAAACACATACAGTTGGTTTACCGAAAAAGTTTTAGAATCGAGGCTGAATTCAAATCATTTCTGAGAAAAGCATCTAATAAATAAAATATAATGAATATACTGTTGAATTTTCAAAATATGTTTTTTTTTTTTTTGGTTACCAGCAGTCAGAAAGAAGAGGATACTGCAATGATGTTGATGCTCTCAAATGAAAATTACCAATACCAATACTGCCCTATTGGTGTCAATATCAAATAATAATTGAGAAAAATGTTTTTATAAACAAAGTAAACAAACAGAAAAAATATGTTTATAAAAATTAAGAAACTATGATACTTATTAAAATATCATTAAATGCATCTTGCTGGTGAAGTAACCCCTAGCTATTATAAGTAAAGCAGAAAATGATTTCAAATTAAAATATTTTTTTTAAATGAAACATATCTATTAATTTCATTCTTAACTGTATCTTCATATGTCATCAATACAATATCTTAATATGTCATCAAATGATTCTTGTTAGAGCCGGAGAAGTTTTCTGGCATCAACAATGGATACACAATGACATTTTAGTGAGCGTTTTCTGTGAATCAATATAAAATGTAGGCTGTATGAAAGTATTTAATATATTTCAAATATTTATTTTATTTTCATTGTTTTAGGTTGTTCAGCTTTAAATGTTTACCTGACATATCAATAGCCTAAATTGCTGCTTGGTAATAGATCATTTATTATTTATTTATTTTTATTAATATTATTATAACCTTCATTTTACCAGAAAAGACACATTGAGATTAAAAATCTTTTTTGCAAGAGCGTCCTGGCCAAGAATAGGCAGTACACATGTCACATGGGTCTAACAAACAACAAACAAAAAACAATTGACAGTTAATATGAATCACACATTGCCAAACACTATTCAAAACATCTACAATCCTACAAGCCGTTTCATGCAGCTATTAATGTTTGTAAACAATACAACAACTTTGCCATTACGGTGCTATTTATATCAATACAAACAAGCAAAAAGGGTATAGCTAATCGGTAGATGTTATATAACTGATTACACTTAATTCTAGTCTAGTTTTAATAACATCGCAATTAAAAGCATACTACCATCTTAGCATTTTCCCGCAAATCACAGTTAATGTGCAGCTGTAACCATGCGAGTTATCCAGTCAGATATTTAGAGCAAGATTTAATGTGGCTTACCTTGTTAAAAAATATGAAGAAAATTATCAAAAACGTCTGTAGCATAACATGATGTTTATCCGCGTTAAATCCTCAGAATTCTGACAACAAAACGCAACGATGTTTTCAGGGGTGCTTGTGCCGTTAATCGTCACCAACTCTGCTTCAGCTGCAGCACACAATTACTACAGGCTGAAACCCCGCGTGTGTTTGTGACGAGAGAGAGAGAGAGAGAGAGAGAGAGAGAGAGAGAGAGAGAGAGAGAGAGAGAGAGAGAGAGAGAGAGAGAGAGAGAGAGAGAGAGAGAGAGAGAGAGAGAATATTTATTTAATTTCAATTAAAATGTAAAACTTTTTTTATTATTTTAAATAGACTACTTTTTTTGTCTTTTAGATGTTCCTTCTTGGAACATGCTAATATAGCATAAATTAATTTGCAATTCAATATTTAGTTAACATCAACAATAACAAAAAGAAGAACAATAATAATAGCCTAAGTCAGAGATGCAGTAGGGCCCATGGGCCAACGTGGACCCATTGTAACCTTTGATTTGACCCACTGTCTCATCTGAGAAGAGAGTAAGAATGCTGGAGTCAAATGCCTTTCAGGGAGATAGTCATTTTTCTTTTGACATAACCTTTTTTGTTTGTGTGCTTTATTGATGAGCTACAAAAAAGCTTGTTTCAATTAAATGAATCTAATTTTTAAAAATGTAAATAATGTCACTAGACGAATAGAAGACTATGCAGAAGAAATTGGAGAGAAAATCAAGGAAAAAAAATTTAATGTAACTACATTCTATTATATACAAGATTTTTTTTTTTTTTGCTATAGGTTTGTTATAAAATGTTTTTAAAAAAATGCTGTATTAGTTAATATAAAGCAATGTTATTTTTAAATATTAAATAAATTAGGAAATTACCCGAGGCAGATATATATTTTCTTACGGCTCATTAGCCTCGGTTGAGTTTGGCTTTTGGCCCTTCATAAGAAAAGGTTTGGGCACCCCTGGCCTAAGTATTAAATTACATTAAACATAGTTCAAATAAGATTGTTATGTTAAAAAAGTTGTCCAAAAGTAATCCTAAATTGTGATGTTCTGTAAAGTAGCCTAGACTATTTGTAAATAACCAGAAGCACTTCTATTAATTTAAGTTGTTAATAGGTAAGATTAAATTAGCAAGCACAATCTCAGATGAGATCACTGGCTTTTTAGATTTTAAAAGTTTTATATAGGTGTGAATAGTTTGCAAAAACCAATGGTTTTGTCTCATGGAATGTATTATGTTATAATGTTGTTTATTTTATGTAACTTTACAACTCTCAAAATGCCAAAAACTGTTTGTGATTCACCACAGGCCACATGATTCATGATGCGATTTATATTTCTCAATCTTTCTTATTATTCCACTGAAGAAACAAATAAATTAATAGATTTAACCACCCCTTTAAAACCTGAAGGCCCAACCAGTGCTGACTGACTGTTCGCATGCCAACATATTTGAGTTCTGTAAAATGAAAAAAGAATAAAATGTACTACTTATACAACCTACCTACATATTTTAATGAAATAATGTGTAAAACTTGTCTTGCAATCTCTCCATTGTTCCATCATTTAATACCGTGGTCAATATAGGCAATAAGAACTATATTGTCTTCAACCCCTAAATGTTTCAATGGAGAACATTTGCAATGTTGTACAAAACTGATAATTTATGTAGAATAATTGAAACGCATAAATCACTCCATCTCAGATTTCTGTGGTCAGTACATGACAGGCACACAGTCTTCCTCCAAATACCAAGGAATTGCTCATGGGACTGTTATGGAACCATGAATCGATTCCCATGATTCCCGCACCTTATCCATGACTCTGTAGAAATCACATCAGTTAACACAGCAAGAAGAACACCACACAGCATCTCTCACTGGAGTATGCCGACGGAGCAAACCCATAAAAACATTTAACAGCTGAACCACACCAATAATCATTTCTAACAGACTTATGTCATCTTATGAGCTTCAACACCGCGCTACCAATGCGTAATTAACATTGTCATAACGAACACAAAGACAATCCGTGAGGCGACATGCAGTAAACAACACGGAGAACAAGGTGTTTTGATTTACCTAAAGGGGAATAGTCCGAATCCTCTTGTTTCCAGCAGAACCGGCTCATTAAAGCCGCCGCGTCACCGGTCCATCGCGCACATGCCTCCCGCACGGTATCAGACTGTCACATGAGCGGAGCGGAGCCGAGCGGTCAGTTAAACCCTCCCCTGCCTCCATCCAGCGAACATCTGAATCCAGTCCAACACCGCCCCACCTCCCCAAATTCACAGGATAGCCTGTTTAGATCATAGATGAAGGCACCAGGCAGGCAGCAGGTGGATGAGTGAAATCAGACGGTTAATGACTGTGCGTGTCGGTCAGACCGGCTCTTTAAGACTGATTCGTAGACTGTATACGGACACAGAATAATAATGAGTACATATTGCTGCAACAGCAAGCGAGCGTTTAGAGAACTAGGCTGAGAGGGTTATTCTGTCTCCAGTGGTTTAACTTGAATTACCCTGCTTTATTTAAGCTACTGGAGGATGACAGGTTACCCCTGTGAACCACACCAACATGCTTAAGGAAAAAAAGTGTAGAATTAGAAGAAAAAAAGTTAACAGTTTAAATATATATATATATATATATATATTAGCAATATATATATTAATATATATTAAATATATATTTTTTTATTTTATTATTTTATTATTTTATTTTTAACTATTTATTTTATTTTAACTGTTAACTTTTTTTCTATATACACACACACACACACACACACACACACACACACACACACACACAGTTGATTTCTGTTTAACAGAGAGCAGATTTTTTTCAACACATTTCTAAAATAATTTTTATGTTTTTTATTTATAATAACTCATTTCTAATAACTAATTTATTTTATCTTTGCCATAATGACAGTAAATAATATTTCACTGGCTATTTTAGACACTTCTATACAGCTTAAAGTGACATTCTAAAACGTAACTAGGTTAATTAGGCTAACTAGGCAGGTTAGGGTAGTATAACGATGGTTTGTTCTGTAGACTATCGATAAAAATAAAGCTCAAAGGGGCTATAAATTTTAACCTTAAATGGTTTTTAAAAAATCAAAAACTGCTTTTATTATAGTCAAAATAAAACAAATTAGACTTTCAAAAAATATATATATTATCAGACATACTGTGAAAATGTCCTTGCTCTGTTAAACATCATTTGGAAAACATTTTAAAAAGAAAAAAAAAATTCAATAGGGGCGCTAATATCAAATGTGAGGTACTGTGGATGCAAGAGGAAGCTGTCTGAAAGGGATGTCTGGGTGCTAATCGATATTGTATCCAAAAAACAAAACCACAGCTGTCCAACTCACTAGGAATTAAACATGCACCTCAACTCTCCTTTTCCCACCAAAACTGTTCATTGGAAGCTCCAAAGGGTTAAAATACATGGCCAGGCTGCTAGCCAAGCCTTTGGTCACTCATGCCAATACCAAACGTTGTTTTCAATGGTGTCATTTTATAGTGATAAGTTCACCTTTACTTACTTTGCCAAATCTGAGAGAGTTACAGTGTGGAGAAGCCCCAAAGAAGCATACCACCCAGACGCTGAAGCATGGGGATGGATAAGTGATGGTTTGGGCTGCAATATTATGGCATTCCCTAGGCCTAATATTGCCAAGGACTGCCGAACCATTCTGTAGGACCATGTGCACCCAAATTCCACCAGCATCACATAGTACCTGGGTCACTTTTCTGCAAAAAGAATGGCTCAAAATCTCTCTGGTTACTGTGCAGGTCTTGTATCTTTTATTGCCAAGATGAAATGATGCTGCATTTGCGGCAAAAGGAGGCCCTAGTAATGAACTATTGTGGTCTCAAACCAGGCGCTTTCAGATTCATTGTCCAACTCCTGTAAGTATGTACTGTATGCAGTGGTGAAAAGAGTACTGCAAAATCACACTCAAGTAAAAGTACCACTTGCCTAAAAATGTAGTTCAAGTAGAGTAAAAGTATACGTTGTAAATCGTACTCAAAATATGTGTATATATAAGTAGATCTTTAAATGGACTCAAGAGAACAAGTATTAGACAGTGAAAAGTCGATGCGTTTACATGCAGATTATGCAGGAATGTGTAAACGTAACATTCTATAGTGCATTTAGTGATCTTCCTATATTTGTTCCTTCCTTCCTTTCTTCATTAATTTTTTTGTTTGTTCCTTCATCCATTCCTCTTTTCGTTTGCTCATTCGTTTGTTTGTTTATAGTTTTGTTTCTTTCTTCATTAGGTCATTTGTTTATTCATTAATGTATTCATTAATTAGTTTGTTTGTTCCTTCCTTGCTTCTCTACTTCCTTAATTTGTTCAGTCCTTCCTTGAATCCTTCATTCATTTGGTCCTTCCTTTGTTCCTCCCTTCATTTGTTCGCTCATTCATTCGTTCGTTCATTCGTTGGTTCGTTCTGTCCTTCATTCATTTTTGTTCGTTCCTTCATGCATTCCTCTCTTCATTTGTTTGTTAGTTCATATTTTTTCTTTCTTTTTCTTTCTTCATTAGGTCATTTGTTTATTTATTTATTTAATCATTAATTCCTTTGTTCGTTCCTTTCGTCCTTCCTTAATTTGTACAGTCCGGTCCTTACTTTCTTCAGCCCTTCCTTCCACCCTTCATTCATTCCATTTAGTGATTGTTTAAGGCTGTTTGGTGAATTTAGTCATCATACAGTCGACATCCTTTCTTTTCTCATCAGTGACATGCAGTCTAAAAACAGTCTCTGGGTCATTGCGTGTAAAGATGTTGGACATCTAGGAGATTTTTAATGCTGTTTGCTGCATTTAAAAAAGCACCCATGACTTGAGGTATTTCAGTATGCTGCGATTTATTTCTATGTGCGATTTGATTGGACTAAGGATGCTCAAAATAATCGATTAACCGTTAACCGAAAAGGTGCGTTTGTGACCGATTAATGCTATCAGTTAAACCGTTGAAATTATTACTTTATATATTTTTAGTTTGACTGCATAAGGGGCCGATTGAATGCGCCTTTGCGTTAAGAGGGGCATCTTTTGCACGCGGCTCATCCCAGAGCAGCAGTTTGTGTTGTCAAGACAACTACAGAGAACTTTTAAAGAGCTTAGTTTCCGCTACATTAATTCTTCCATGGCGGAAACCAAAATGCATTCAGCCACGGCTACATTCACATTCAAAACATTCAGTTATTGTTGTTGTTGTTTTTAATAGTGGATTATAATAACACCAAAACGTATTAAAAGGTAGATTATAACAGCGCAAACTTTTCTGTAACCGTATAACGTTAGTGCTGTGCGCTATTGTTTAAAACCATCAGGACATAATCTTTAAAATAATGATTTCTATTAAAAATGTAAAAAGGTTTTGTGATTGTAATAATAACAGCGGGGCATTAAATAAATGCATATTTTTCGTGGAGCGGGCAATTTGAGGAAGTCAGCTATTTTTATTTGACGGAAGAAAAAAAACATATGATTGAAAAAAAAACAGCCTATGCCGGTTATTAAAAAGAATCAGTCAGTGTTTTCGTTTTGTAATATAAATTAATTATTTAAGTGAAAATAATTTAGGGCAGTCTTATTTATTTTATTCATTTTATTTAGTTTATTCTGTTCTGTGCTAAACACTGCAGGTGCGTGAAAATGCTCTGTTGTTATGTTCTGTTATTAATATGCTATAAAAATGAATCAGTATTTTAAAATGCAATATTTAATTTGTCGGACACAAAATAGTCACGTCAATTTGTTTAATATAAAATTAATAGTAATCTGACCAGTTAACCGTTAATAACCGATTAATGAGCGGCGGTTGTCGGTTAGCAAAATTAACCGAAATGAGCATCCCTAGATTGGACAGGAGTGATTTTTGTACTTTAGCCAATTACCATAAACAAGAACGAAGTGACTGCAGGTTAAAGGAAAATAGTGAAGTAAAAGTACAGATATAGCACTAAAAATGTACTCAAGGGAGAAGTACACATTTTTAAAACTACTCCGTTAATTAGCTACAATTTCTGAGAGATCTCTCAGCAACTCAGTAAATTCAAGTGCGGTACAATCTGTGCAAAGTGCATTTGTGAAAATTACACTACTAAATTTACTACTATATAGTGATCTGTTGGTGATATTATAACAAAGTGAAAGCAATTGGGAACAACATCAACTCCTGAAGTGGTAGACCATGTAAAAGTCAGCAAATGCTGAGACACAGTGTTCAGAAGTGGCCAACTTTCTGCAGAGTCAATATCTACAGACCTCCAACCATTGTAGCCATCAGATTAGCTCAAGGACAGTGCATTTTTGTTCTTTTTAAAATATTTCCCAAATTATGTTTAACAGAGCAAGGCGTTCTTTCATATTTGTTTTTTTACCCAGTAAACTTACCAATTACCAATCAGAGTATTAACACTGCTTTAACAACAATAGCAATAGACAACTGTCCTGATTTTAGCCGGTAACAAAGGGGACACTCTGTTCCACTTTTGTAATTGCAGTGGCATAGTCCCTATTTATACCTTATGGAAATTTTCAATGACCTGCATCGGTCACAGTGCTTACAACATGGCCTCTTATTACCACAGTAACACGGCATCGCTATCAGATAGAGGTCGCAGCAGGGTGGCTTATTCTCATTAGCTTGTACTGGTCCCAATATCGCTCTTGTAGACAAGCAAGGAACAAAGGGGTTTTATCTACACCAGCAGTCACAGGGAAGCAGCTTGAGTAGAAACGTTCATTTATAGCACATTTAATTAATCATTCAATTCTGAGGAAAAGAAGCAAGTGCTAAAATACGATGACCTAAAAGGTGATATGTCCTCTTAAGTGAAAAAAAAAGCCTTCAGAAAAGCCCCTTCCCCCATAACCATTGCTTCTGTGACAAATGGGGGATCCAACATGGTAATCCTCTGGCTTTAAGACTGGGGTTTAACCCCCTGGTCTCAGTAGTCGGCTGGTGGCAGGCTTAGCCATGACCAGGCTAAATCATTTACATGCCCATGTAGGCCACCAGACTTCTCCAGTAAATCCAGTTACTGCATGAAGTGAATGTGTGTGACAGGCATCAAGGGATTCCATGCACACTTAAATAAATATCTGTCATTTAAAAAGAGAGAGAGAAGGGTGGTGGACGGTTGGGGGGGAGTGAATTATAGAAGGTGGTGGGTTTAAATATTTAATATGAGCTTAACTGAGAAAAACAAAATGAAAAATGGTACTGCAAATAATTGTGTAAGCATTAAAAATATAGTATCATTCATATTGTTACTACAGAAAGATAATAGATTGATCAAATTATCTGGACAAGTCATGACAATCTTAAATGTTTGTATAACATAAGTCAAACAGC